TAAATTCGCCACCGGGGATGATGGTGGAAGAATGGGAGATCCAAGAAGAATAAAAAGAGTGAAAGACAAAAATATCGAGAAGAGAGTGAATGAGTACCGTGGAAGTCTTTCTTGTTTATTCAAAACAATTAAAAATTGGAATTGCTAATATTATATTACCCAACCCAAGAATAGAAAATAAAGAGCCTACTGGGCTAAGCAAAGAAGAAGAAATTATGAAGTGGGTTTGAGTCAGTTTCGCGTGCGGTTCCTTTTGCGCATGATCCTATATTGAACCAATGCAAGCCTCAACACATGTAGCCATGTACTCCTATTTTCCTATTCGTGTAATATATATATTTGTTTAGCAAATATTATTTACACTATCAGTGTAATTAACCTGTTTGAATCAGAGGCGTATCTAGGTTATTGTGTATGGGCTCACGTGAAGTCATACTTCTCTCTCTAAATCATATATAATAATGTTATATTTATTCAAAACTACTTAAATATATGTGCATGCACCCATGCACTTAAAGACTCCTATGGTGCAATACTTACATGGTTTACCTCTAAAAATGAAATTGACGGTTCAAATCTCAATCTAGACGGTCTTATTTTCGGCACGGAGTAAAAATATATAAGTAAAAAATCACTAAAATTTCAAAAAGAATATAATTTTGAACCTACTTCGAAAGTGTAGTGGGATCATGGTAAGAGACTATAGTTAAACCCGCCAAATATAAATTCTAGATCCACCTTTTCATAATAGTGCACCCATTCTTTTGAAATCCTGGATCTGCCTCTGGTTTGAACGTCTGTTTACCCTGGGCGATTGAAAAGAAAGGAGTATTTAAATTTGTTACTACCTTCCGTTCTACTATTCCAATCAAATTAATTGCTCTTCCGAACGATCAAGTCATAACCTCTGTTTTAAAAGGCAGAATTGGGACTCGCCCGGGGCTCGCCCCGGGCGGAGCACTCGTAAAACGTCCCTGGGCTTATGTGTGGGGCTTAGTTCCGTGAGACTTACGCCTCGACCATTGGGGCTTACGCCCCGGACACGCCCAACGCCCANATTAATTACGGAACGCTAGACCACAGTTATAAGTAAGAATATCAAATAACATAGCAGTGCCTCGTGCCTCCCGGCGTATGGAACATACCGACCGCCAGCTCGATGAAGGGGATTCCCGAAGATAAGTTGGGAGACGCCGTGGTACCAGCCCGTGTAATCATGCTCAGTATCCAGCCGACTCGGTGAAGGAGGAGGGGGTGGAATCAAGTCAGATCTCCGGTCCCATGTAAATACTGGTCCTATAGCCATGCCAAAAATGCGTCATCCATTCTGGTACGATCATCCCGCTGGTAATGTGTGGTCTCCCAGGTGGGCGGCGTCGGTACGAGCTGCGGACGCCCAAACTGGTGAAGTACCCGCTCGATGGCATGATGCTCCACAATATCAAGGCAGAACAACGGGACGGAAGAGCCCCACATAAGTCGGTCGGCCGAGCAATAACAGGGCAAGCCAGCTACCAACTCGTCGGTGTATGGCGTCCAGATGAACTATTAAGTAAGAACAGAAAACGTCAGTATACGCAACTTGTGTTTGCAGCTATGACAAGTAAACTTGGATATACATTTACTTGTGCGCCATCCAGCAAATCCAATATATCCCTCAACAAAGAGAGATTATGTCGAGCCTCGTACTCGCGCACCCGCAGGAGAACCCACCTCCTAGCTAGAGGGAGAATCGCCGGTGGTACATCCGGATCTAATGGTGGTAGAGGTGGCTGCAACTGTAGGAACCGCTCCCAGGCCCAAACCTAACATAAAAAGTTGACGTAAAATTTAAGATATATTTTTACTAGGTATGTTAAAATGAATAGGGTATTCGAATATGTTGTCACCTATAGTAGCGACAAAAATCCAGCAACGTCACGCTGGGTGCCCATGCTCGCCCGGCACATCTGCCTGTACAAGTAGCCGAGAACAGCGGCGCCCCAGCTGTACTGGGGTAAATCATCTAGCCGCTCAAGATGATGAAGAAATATCAAGATGACTAGGTTCCCCGAAGTGTTCGGGAACAAGACCCCTCCAAAAAGGAGTAGCAGCAACCTTGTATACCGATCAACATGATAATCCGGTATATGCAAGAACTATAAATAAAGGACCAAGATCCTCTATGAAATATAAAAGATCATTCATACATAGCATAGTCCAAGCGAACCCACTTAAAATCTTTATCGGCATCGATGTCAGGATGCAATGCCTCCAACCACTGTCGAATAGTCGTCAACGGAAAACGTCTGGTCCCAGCCAGTACATTCTCATCCTCTGGCCGGAAAGCAGTGAGCCGCTGCAGCATGTCCAGGTATTGCACACGTGTCATCTCTCTCATGCCAGGCGGCAGAGCAACGGGCTGTCCATCAACGGGCAGCCCATATAAAACCTCCACGTCTTGCAATGTGATGGTGGCCTCGCCAATGGGCAGGTGGAATGTGTGCGTCTCCGGTCGCCACCGCTCTATCAGGGCCGTGACCAAAGACCAATCGA